AAAATTTAGCTTTTGAAATATAAGACATTTTAAGACTTTTTAAGGCCCCACGTATACCCTAAAACAAAGAAAAACACATTTGTTAAAGCATTTAATCATCTCAGTTAACTTTAGTTAACTAAAATAAAGTTAATAAAAATAAATGTGTTCATTGTTAGAACTCACAGTCCAATGTTAACAAACAACACTTTAGATTTTAATTATGCATTAGCAAATGCTGCACTATATCCATAAATTCTACTCAGGATTTTTTATACTTAGTTTATGATAAACACATGAACCCATGGATCATTATTTAAAGGTGTTGGCAAATATGAATTTAAACATTGAGTCTTGCCAATCTGGGGTTGAAAATAATGCAGTTTAAAATAAAATTAGGTCCAAAAAACATTTACATGAGATTTTGAATCTCTTTTCCACCACAGACAGTATCTGAGAATGTGCTAAAGCACCACACGATGTCTTATTAGTTTAATCTAATCAACACAAATACTTAATTCTACAGTTCTGGTTTCCATAATGTAAGTATAAACACGGATATCTGCTCATTTGGTTGACAAATAAACACTTTGGTTTAGATAAGTTAATGTTAGCTAGATGATAATGATCACTGCTTTTTAACCTCAAACACTGTATCTATAAACAAAGTAAATCCACTCTAAACATTTTTATCAGCTAACATTAATTTTGTTTTCTGTAAGTTCATGTTAGCCAGTGAATAAAACAATACATTATAGAGTGTTTATTTCAATGCAATAACAAATCTAAAAATAACAACAAGAAAAAAGCTTGAAACCAGTGGAAAGATCTGTTTGCCAGATCATCTTTGCTAGAAAAACTGCAAGTGCAAATGCAAAGGCAGAAGCTTATAATAATTAAAAAATATATTTACTAAACACTGCAATTTTCTACAATGTTTTTAAGTTTGTGTGTGTGTGTGTGTGTGTGTGTGTGTGTGTGTGTGTGTGTGTGTGTGTGTGTGTAAAAGTGTTTTAATTGAACATGTTAGTATTTCAATATTATTATTATTTTAGACAACAAATAAAAACAAAACTCATTGCACATTTACTTTAGCTTCCCTAAAATATACGTATAATAAAATGTAATTTTAACTGTAATCTTGTTACATAGATTATGGTCCCAGAACAAATCGATTAAGCTTACTTAACAAAATTAAGTGGATCGAACATAAAACAATTAAGTTGTCTCAAACAAAATTTCAAGAATTGTAATCTAATTTTACAATAGTAAAAAACAAATTTTGAGTGAACACTGTAAAAAAAGCTGTGTTTCACACAATTCCTTCATGTTGTCCCAACACAAATTGATTAAGTTAACTTAATGTTTTTTACAAAATTAACTAGATTAAAAATAAAACAATATGTTAAACATTAAACAATAACAATAAAATTTCCCGAATAAAACTCAAGATTTGTGTAGATTCAACTCATTTTAATTAAGTAGTTTAAACAAGCAGATAAAAACTCATTTTGAGTGTACGCAAACATCGAATTTTCCATGACTTGTGTAATGGATTTGTAAAAAAATAAAGACGGGTCAAAGACAGACTGAAGGATCATAGTGATTAACAGGTCCGGAAGAGGGAGGAGACTAACACGAGTCAATAATCACACGCCTCTTCATAAGACATCGGAAACACATTTGTATGTGCAGTGCAACCTTATGCAAACACGCCGTACTGATTTGAGGTTATGGTTATATTTTAATGATAAAATAATAATAAAAAAGGAAATGCGGCATGGTCTTAACTGTTCTGTCAGTTCAAAGTTCTGCCAGAAGTGTTTAATTTCATTCAATAATATTTTGGATGAAATCTGATTATTTTCAGAGCATATTTAATCCTCTGTGTGCTTAATCGGGTTTAAAAAAATTTATTTAAGGTAGAACTTTACTGGGATGCATACTTACAACTTGAGCGTATTTGTTGACATGTTAAGGACTGCAGGTGTATTACGAATCTATTGCCTGTAGAAAGAAACAGACACAAAGGAGATGACTTTAATATCTCAATTAAGAAAAAGAATCATCCACAAGTACAGCAATAAGATTGAATATTTTCACTGCAGGGGAATTACGGTTAAGGACCAAGGAGAGACCAACAACTTCAGCGAAGACAAGGAGTCAAAGCCACATACTGTGTATGAATTTGTCATGTGAATTCATATAAAATCACTACACAAAACATCTATTCAATTATTGATATATTTAAATGTCTATTTGCCTATACTGCCTGATCATTTGTTTTTTATTTTCCCCTTGTAAACAATAGTTTGTGTATTTTTAGTAATATATAAGCTGGCATTAAATAAGACACATATTCAGAATCACTGTAAAAAAATTATCTGTAACTAACAGTTTTCTGTATTTTGTGATTCGTTTTCTTTCTTTTGCGTATTCTATGAATTGCATTAAAGGAACTGAATTTTTCCTCTAACAGTTTCTGATGTTGAACAGTTTTTAAAGATTCACTTTTACAGTTTTAATAATTTGAAGTGATACCATTGTTGATGTTGGTTTACTAATTATTGTACAAAAACCTGGTAATAAACTGTCAGTACTTTATGTTGTTTTATTTTGTTTTAACTATACATTTCTTAAATATATCAGTTGCAGTATCAAACTCATTAAATATCAATAAAAGTGAGTTTAATTTTAACATCAAAAGTCAGAGCGATGATCATCATTATGCAATTGAGAATATGATGGAAATAAATAAACAACAAAAAAACATGATATATGGAACTTGTTAATGAACTGATATAAGTTACAGTGGTAAAGACACTAGTTCTGGCATTTAGACATTGCAGGAAAAGATTGCAGTATGCTACAGTGCCATCTAGCAAGCAAGTGAGAAAGTCTAATGTAATGTAATCTAATGTAATGCAGTCATTGACTTACTGGTGTATTTAAAGTAGTTTCATCAGAAAATATAGAAATATACAAAATAATACAGCATATTTTAGTCATCAGCAGTCTAACCATCACAAAATGAAACAAACAATAAATCAAATTAAAAATAATAATAATTCTGTACTGAATGCATGACATCTGGTCTCTTTGAAATAAACATACTTTATGTTAAACATTCATTTGGCTTAGCCTCTACTTAAGAGGTCGCCACAGCGGAATGAACAGCTATTCCAGCATGTTTTATGCAGCAGATGCCCTTCCCGCTGTAACCCAGTACTGGGAAACACCCATAAACACACAGACAATTTAGTTTATTCCATTCAACTATGCTGAATGTCTTTGGACTATGGGGGAAATCGGAGCACCGGGAGGAAACCAACACAAACATGGAGAAAACATGAAAACTCCACACAGAAACGCCAACTGCCCCAGACAGGACTCAAACTAGAAACCTTCTTGCTGTGAGGCAACAGTGCTGACCACAGAGCCATGCAGCCTTTCTTATTAAAAATATATTATTGCAACATTTTCTTTCATTTTTTTAATAAGTACGAATATTGCAAATAAAGGTTTTATTTAATGCACGCAAAGACTTTTCAAGCAACAAACATAGAGCCTAATTTTTAACATCTTGGAGGTGTGCTGTTTAATTAATTTGATAATTAAGATTCCAATAATTCATTAAAAATGACATTAAATTTAATATATTATATTTAAAAAAAAAAAAAAAATATATATATATATATATATATATATATATATATATATATATATACACACACACACACACACACACACACACACCATTATTTACAGAAGACACCCACCCACTGATATCAATCAGTAGTTGCAATAAATGTCAGTGCATCATTTATTTATTATCTTTTCAGCTTTCCTTTCATCTTTAGTAATCTGCCACATCGGATAATGTTTTCTATGTATGTAAAACCACATTTATACATTTAATTTGATGTTGACAGCAACATTTGTTATTACTGTTTGTCAAACTGTAAATAATCCCGACACATTTGTGCAATTAAAAAATGATCCCAATGATAAAGTATATTTATGACTTTCAGGTTAAGGGGAAGTTTGCAAAATTGCATAAATAGAGCATAAAGCAAAACTATTTTGGACAAAAATATGTATCTATTTCTCAGAAAAGACAAAAGTTAAAATTTGTTTAAATGCATCTGACATTATTTTCTTTTATTACAACTTTAAACCTTGAATTCTGTACATTGTTAATCTTTTTATTTAATTGGTAAGCTATTCACAAATGTACATTTTTGGAAAAGACTATTTTTAATTGATCATAAATCATATATTTTGTCTTTAATGGGCATACAAACAAAAAATATATATTTTAAAAGTCAAAAATGGCTTTCAATGTAACCTTATATAGTTTCCCTTTTTTTAAAACTCCATTTAATTTATGTTTTAATTTTCTCTCTTCTTTAAAATGTTTAAAATGCACAATATTAGTATTATGCAGATTGTAACACAATCTCCGTATTTTTTTCTAATGCTTTAAGTTTATACAATTTGTTGTTAACTGTTTTTAGAACCAACAATAAAAAATAGATCATAAAGCATCATTCAGCATGAACTTGAATTGCGGAGCGGCATCTGGTAGAATTCCACTGATGTGGGCGTTACTTTGAGAAAATAGAAGCCCTGTGTGTTCATTCATTCATTCCTCCATTCATACTCAACTTACAAATTCAGCTTTCCCACAAGAGTAATAATAATTAGCTCAGTCTAATCTGTCGATTCATTGCATAAAAGTATGTATGGGGTGAGTAAAATCAAACAATAACGTTCGCCTTAAGTCGCCATCTTTAGTGTGGGACAATACGCCCTAAACAAATAACGCATAAAACCCGTTTCAAATGTAAAGATGCTTTTAAAACGTCTTAAATAAATTCCAATATTGTATAGTAATCATAAAACTGACAGTTAATAAATGCAAGGGGGTTTATCCGTACTGTAATCGAGTGTTTAACTAAAAAAATCCATAGAGAAGGACGTGGTAAATCGGCCATATTTGTTGAGGGTGGCTGTAGGAGCGGCTGTACATTGTCAAGAACATGGCGGCTTCCAGGCAGGCATGAGAGTGGATACTTCTTAACGAATTTGGGTGATTCTGGCCAACCATTTCAAAAACAGACCATCAAAACACTTCCCTGGATACCGCGACACGAATCTCGTAAGTATGACTCATTGAGAAGAGTTCGCGTGGAGCCGAAATGTGTATATTTGTACGGCGAACGTAAACTTAGCCGCCATTTTTCTTGTGGGAGCTGCTAGTGGGCTGATTTGACGACAAGATGGCTGCGTACACCGGGGCGGCATGAATTAAATAAAAAATAAACAATCTAAGATATTCGCTTGGAGAAGACTTCGGCAGGCGTATTATCTGATTGTATGTATTAAGATCTGTTTGTATTTGCCTGTTTATTTGGAAAAAACAAGGCTAGCTGTGTTTAGCTGCGCTTCTAGTAACCGCATTCCGCTGCACGAATTAATGCACGCGTAAAAGTCTAATATAATTGCTCAGACTAAGTGAAAACTGCAGTAGTATGTTGACGGTTGGAGTTTGCTTTGCATTGGAATGAAATGGCACGGTTAAAATGTAGCATTGTTGCTATTTTGAGTGGCCGACAAGATGGCGACTCCCAGAGAGGCATGAAAATAGCCTTCTGCAGCAAAAGAGGACTGGTTTCCTAGTGTTAGTTTCTGAATTTAATTGTTCCTGTTGTTCAGCTGCGTTTTGCTGAAGCGATTTCGATTGATTCTCACTTTTGCAGTTCGTAGAGAGTTTGTCAACACATACTTGCTGTGAAGTTGACTGAAATTAATTGTTTTTATATGCCGCTCCGCCATTTTTCAGACTGGCGGAGGCTTGTTTCAAGATGGCGACTTCCATGGATTGATACTCTTTCTGCATCGGGGGCATTTAACTATATAATGTAATTTAGCGGTGTGGCGTTTAGCACTTTAACTAGGTATGATGTGCGGTTTATTTATGCAATCGTCGATGCTTTAGTTGCTGCGTGTGGTATTTCACACTAGTTGACCGGCTTTTAGGCTCATCTGCAAGCGCCAAAATGGCGGCTCTCCTGAATTAATCAAACTTCTGAATATCCCATGTTGTAAATTATTTTTGTTGTACTATTATACCACTACCTACATTAAGGCAAAACTGTTTGATGTATAAAAACTGCTTTTATGTATTATGTGCATTAATGTCGCTCACAGAAACAACTTGTATTGTAGCGTTACGTTAACTAAGAGTCCCTAAAGTGCATTCCTTATTTTTTTAGTAAAAGGACATGACGTCCCCCGGTGTGCCTGGAACCACCGGAGCTCCGCTGCAGCCGCGATGGAAGCGGGTTCTTGGTTGGTCTGGTCCGGTACCTCGACCCAGACACGGGCACCGAGCCGTAGCCATCAAGGAACTGATGGTCGTTTTCGGCGGAGGAAACGAAGGAATCGTTGACGAGCTGCACGTTTATAACACTGGTGAGTATCATAAAAGTTAATAACTAAGGTAACGTTATATGCGTACAAACCAAAGAACGTTAACGTTAATATTTGCGGATAATTTATAAAATGGGGATGTATTTTCCTTATAAGGCCTTTTATCTATTAACGCTTCGCTTATCGAACTCTCCTAGTTTACTGAGGGAATTACAAATATAATACAAACACCTGTCATTATATATTTGCTGGTTATGAAATCGTTCGCTAGTTGTGGATGTTGAGCTACGCGTCTCACTCTGCTCCTTCGAGTGTTATGAGGGAAAAAAAGGCGCCAGAAAAACAAAAATGGACGTTGTCCTCCGGCGCCGCGTCACGCGCACGCCCCCTCATGCACGTGCACCAGTGCGCCTTTTTGTTGTTTATCTTTCTGGTCAAGTAAAATTCATATTATAATAATGTTATGAAAATTATTAGGCTTTAGACAATGTCTTACTATACATGCACACGTTTTCTTTGTATCAAGCTTTTGCAGCTTATCACAAATATTGAGTTTAACAATGTAATTTATTTAATTTTTCCCACAGCAACAAATCAGTGGTTCATACCAGCCGTTCGTGGGGACATCCCTCCAGGCTGTGCGGCTTATGGTTTTGTGTGTGATGGCACACGTCTGCTAGTTTTTGGTGGAATGGTCGAATATGGAAAATACAGCAATGACCTTTATGAGTTACAGGTAAGAAAGTTCTTTAATGGCGTTGTGCAAATACTTACACTAAACTGTCAATGGTAGATGGTCTGCTAATGTTTGGCTGGCTGAAGCTAACATTTCAGTCCCTCTGTATTTTAGGCACAAACTTTTTTTTTTAAAGCTTGAATCAATGTTCCCAACCAGTTATCTTTTTTTTAAATTCCGTTCCTGATAATACTTCAAGTAAAATCAAGTAAACTGGGGAGATGTCATTTCACACAGGATCAGGCTACAGCTTTTTTTTTTTAGATTCAATTTTAGGAATTTGAATGGCTTGCCAAAGCAAAGTTTCTCAAAGCCATGGTTGACCCGAGCTCAAACAAACCTTGTTGTTGTCTTGATGACCAGCCTCAAAGCCAAGAAGAAAATCTGCCTTGTCGTTTTTCTGTAGTTGGTAACATCGAAGAGTGTAAGGGTCTGTGTGTGTTCATATATGGTGCATTTAATTATTTATTTTATATGATTGTAGACATCACATTAGGCTATTTCACACTACCATTGATTTGCAGTTATAATCAAATCACGTTCATAGAAATGTTAGTAATGAACATTTATACACACGTTTATGTGCGTATAGCATCTGTTTTGTAAGAACTGCTTCTCATATGATATGTGAACAACCCATACAGCTTTACTTTGACATTTTCTCATGCGAGAATGATTTCAACTGAAACATTGTCGTACACCATTCCCACCAAAAGGGTAGCATTGGTGCAAGCCTGATAAAGGTGACCTTTACTGTACTGTACCTCTGTGTAAACGAGCCATAAGGGCATCATAAGGGTTTATAAAGTCATCAATATTTGTTCAGTTGTATGTGAGCAATTCCATGCAAATATCAACCTTGCCATAAAAAAATAAAGTTTTCACTAGAATAGTGAAACATTTTCAAATTTTTTGTGTTTGCTTGTATTTTACAGTACTGTAAAAATACTCAAATGTCTCGGTCAATGTTTTTAAACGGTTATATTTGATTTACTAAAATCACTCGAGTGGCAATTTCACATTTGTCACATCCATAACGGAGAGGTGTCACATTCATAAAAGAGCTCCACAATTCTGGCTAAAATAAGAATTGCTAATTTTTTTTTTTCTTAAAATAAAGATCACGATTTTCTCAAGATTCTGTAAATGTAAAATAAAAGTTAATGAGTCTGCAATTATTATTGTTTTAAATTATATGTTTTATTGCACAAATGGTAAAACAACAATAATATTATGTGTTGATCTACTAGTTTCTATAAATAATTCTATTCTGCTTATAATAATTCTGATGTTGAGTTATGTTTGAGATATAGGCACATGCTTGCAATCTGTCATTGACAACAATATTAGACCATTTAATTCACTGGTAAAATCAACATTATAGAGGCTAGAGTAGTTATACTGACACTGTAAACATTTATTTTCATGCACAACTCTGTTCGCTATGAAAGAAAAAACATATCAAATGCTTGTCGCAATCATGACTCTAAAATGTGATATGATTATTTGAATGACGTGCATGCTTTGTTTTATTTTCCACTGCTATGTGCTGTTCATTGTTCGCGCGCGACTCTCAAACAATCACTCTGTGCCACAAACTGAATATTATTTACAACTTTATTAGCTGTTACTCGCAGCCTATGCAGGTTCTGTTCACTGAAGTAGATGCGCGTGCGTGTCCGCCTTCTCTGTGAAAACAGCTCACTGTCATCAGCTCACGTCACATGTGATTTCTAGGCCGCGAATATAGCATTATATGAAGGCAAAAATTACATTTTTAGGTGAATTATACCTTATAAATGCAGCATGTGACTCTTTCAACATCATTTGGAGGTGTCCATGTCGCTGAGCAATGTATGTAAAACAATGTGAAGACTTGTGCGGCCGTCTTTGCTTCTCCCCTCAACTTGAAAATATGATTGGCAGAATCATAGAAATGCTGGATTAAGATCCTTTAGGGGTCGAATCGAAATCGCGATCTTTTTTTCGATTAATTGTGCAGCTCTAATTCATAATGAAGCTTTTTCCTCATACATGCAAAAATGTTAAATGAAATGATATCAATCATTTTTGTTCTATAGTGAGCTGACTTTTAGCCTTTTATCTTTGTATTTTTGGGTTGTGCAGTTAAATTTACATCATTTCTACAAAGTATGTTGTATACTGTAAACTTACATGCGTTTTGGATGTGACAAAAAAGTATGTTTATTTTTTCTCATTTAAAATATAAAAAATGTTTACAGGTTTATATTTTTCAAGTCTCATAACTCTGTGGTTCGTTGTTTTAGGAAACATAAACTGATGTTTCGATATAATGTTAACAAACTTTCTATGAGAATATTTTTTGAGTTTTAACTGAAAATTTCATGTCCATTACGCTGGAATTGCTCGTGTGGATTATTCAGGCAATTATTTGACTGTATCTGTGAAGAAATGATCTCACTATAATTACTGTCATCAGGCAAGCAGGTGGGAATGGAAAAAATTGAAGCCAAAAGCCCCTAAGAATGGAGTGCCACCATGTCCTCGTCTGGGCCACAGTTTTTCTCTTGTGGGCAACAAGTGTTATCTTTTTGGAGGGCTTGCCAATGACAGTGAAGACCCCAAGAACAACATTCCCAGGTATTTGTACTGTACAATAATCTGGTCTTTAAAATATGCATTTGAATCATTTGCTTCATTAATTTGTGTGTGCTTCTAGATATTTGAATGATCTTTATACCCTCGAGTTGCGTCCGGGGTCCAGCGTTGCGGGGTGGGATGTACCAGTCACGTATGGAGTATTGCCACCTCCAAGAGAGAGCCACACTGCTGTAATCTATACCGAAAAAGTTACTAAGAAGTCCCGTCTTGTTATATACGGAGGAATGAGTGGCTGTCGTTTGGGTGATCTTTGGACATTAGATATTGGTATGAAGATTATGATGTTTGCACTGCCGTGTTTGCTACAAATTGGTCATTAATTCAACCGGACATATAGTTTAAGCAATAATTGGGTCACTCTTTGCTTTACAGATACACTGACCTGGAATAAGCCTGCAATAAGCGGTGCTGCTCCCCTCCCCCGAAGCCTACACTCGGCCACCACTATTACAAACAAGTGAGTTTCAGTTGCATCACCGCCAGCATTCCTTAAATGCACACAATGGCATACTGACCTTTAATCTGTTGTATCTGTAGAATGTATGTTTTTGGTGGCTGGGTTCCTTTGGTGATGGATGACGTGAAGGTGGCCACACATGAGAAGGAATGGAAGTGTACAAACACACTGGCATGCCTGAACCTAGGTATGCTGTAGTCGAAAAATACATGTGATGTTGAAAAGTAAAATAAATTTGATGCTTTTATTCATCAAAGATGAATCTTGTAAAATAAAATTTCTTCAATTTATATTTTTAAAAAGGTCTTTCATGTACTCCATGGCTGGACTAATTATTGGAATAATGTTGATTTTATTATTATGGAATAATAAAGCTAAATCTGTTTTGGAACTACTTTAAATGTAACCTAATTCAGGGAGTAAAATAGAAGTATGAATGTCTTAAACGAGACTGACATGAAGCATTTTAATACCAGTGAAACTTTAATGCTAGCAATTAATAATTCAGACCCCCTAGTTTTTTGTGATTTTTGCGATCACTGAATCCAAAATTTTGCGATCCTGCAAAAGTTTTAATTTAAACACAAAATAATCGCAAAAAACGTAAACAATCTCATAAAACATCCAATTCCAAACCATATAATCAAATTATATTTATTTCAGTTTGCAATTAATTGTTTTACATGACCTCCAGATGTTACATACGCAGTGCACGTGATGTATTTGAGTCTCTCAAAAATGACATCTCACCTGCCCCCCTTATGCTGTGTTCACACCAGACGCGGAACGCGCGGATAAATCGCGCGTAAATAGCCGCGTGAACATTTGAGTTTACTCGCTTCATACGCGTGTCAAACCCCGCTTCATTCGCGTGTCAAATTCACATCAAAACAGACGCGGATTCGCGTGATGGGCAGGGCTTCTGTCTGCCCGGAGACTCTAGCTTAATAGCAAAATGGCTAACATGGATTTTATGAAGAAAATAACAGTGTTTATGTGCTTTATGAAGACTAAAAAACAGCGTCGATACGTCTAGGGTCGTGTCTGAGTCCACTACATTCTTTCAGAGGTGCATCCAGCTCTGTGAGCTCTTAAACTCCTCCAGAAACTTAACCTGGATGACGGAGGCTTTCAGCGGTGCTTCTGACTGAGCCAAGCCGAGTTTGATGAACTGAACACCGACAACAGGTTCTACGTCACAATTACGCGTCGCGAATGTACGCTGAAGTTCAGATTTTTGAAATCAAGTGATTCGCACGAATTGTCGTTAAGCGCGCCAAACGCGCAAAACGCTCAATTCGCCCCGCGCCATTTGCGTGATTCGCGTCGCGCCATTCGCACGTATCGCCCGCAGGATGTCTAATCATGCGTTTGCATTGACTTAACATGTAAATCACTCGCGCTAGACGCGCGTTCCGCGTCTGGTGTGAACGCAGCATCACAATCCTAACATTACGAGAGAGTGGGGGAGAATATTTTGCAGCCTCTGCAGTAAGCAGACGTGGATAAAGCGTGAGTGATTTACATGTAAATTCCTGTGTGGCAAATTGGGCGTTTTGTGCATTTGATGTGCTTCAGACTGCAAAAGAAAGTTGAAGCAAAGATCTAACAAATGGAGCAATGGAACAAACAGAAAAGCTAGCAGTTTACAATGATGAAGGTTGATTCACGTCCGCTGGACGTGACCAAAATGAAGGACGTTATTTGTGCTTTACATGTATGGCTGGTATTATGGTGAGCGTAAAATAGATAAATGTTTTCGTTTAACTCTTTTCCTGCAGTTAACGAGAGAAAATGCTTACGGCCATTGACGAGTTTTACAGCGATCTGTGTGTTAAGTGTATTATGGTAGGAGAAGCCCTAATGCATGTCTGGAGTGAGGTACATGTCATGCTCAGAGGAATGAAATCTGAGAGAAAGTAAGATTGTGGATAAAAATAAGAATTATACAACATTCCTTTGGCTTAATCACTACTGTTTTAGATCTTGTCTTGACAAGAGACCAAAATAAAGACACTTTATCTTTATGAAAAAATATATGATTATGATTGCACACCTAACATAATAAGCTACCTAATATGGTGTGTTTATTTATTTTTAATCACAAAATTGTCTGCAAATGTCTGGGAATTACCACACCAAAATAATTTTTATCGCAAAAAAATCACAAAAAACTAGGAGGTCTGAATATTACTGTTATATTAAATTTAGTAAAATTACACTAATGTGATGTATAAAAAAAACAATATAATACCATAACAATGCTATTTGTAAAATGTCAGCTATTTGGCTGAACCCAAGATGACTAATGCATATTTCTCATATAATGCCATATCTTTTAAATTAAATATTTTGTAGACACTTTAGCATGGGAGACTGTTTTGATGGACACTTTGGAGGATAACATCCCACGTGCTCGAGCAGGACATTGTGCTGTCGCTATTAACAACAGACTTTATATCTGGAGTGGACGTGATGGGTATCGCAAAGCTTGGAACAATCAGGTGTGCTGCAAAGACTTGTGGTACCTGGAGACAGGTGAGGGCATCAGTAAAGAGAGCACATTTAAGCTTGTACACATCTAGTGTTATCAGACAGTTGAATGTATTGCAGGATGCAGAATTAGTTCATTATATGTTTTTTTTTTTGCTTTCACAGAACGACCCAACCCTCCTTCAAGGGTGCAGCTTGTCCGAGCCAACACAAATTCTTTGGAGGTTAGCTGGGGAGCAGTTTCTACAGCAGACACGTACCTGCTTCAGCTCCAGAAATATGATATCCCAGCAGCCACTGCTGCCACATCACCAGCTCTCAATGCAGCTCCCTCCCTCCCAGGAAACTCTCCTAAGAGTCCAGCACCGGCTGCAGCTGCTCCATCTGCTCAGAGTCTGCCGCATAGTGGCATCACCTCAGTGCCCCAGGCTGCTTCCCCCACAGCCTCAGTCTTACCTGGCACACCTGCAAGTCCTCTGGCTGCATCAATGGCACGTGGCCCAGGTACTGTTAAACTGTATTCACAATATACACCTTTATGGTAGTGATGGCTCACCGTCTGCAGGTCATTCTGATTACATTTTCATTGCTACAAAATGATTGGCAGATATTTGCATTTATGAGCAGGTAAACAGTAGGGGTGTAAATCCAAACCTGTCACGACTCAATATGAAATATAGTTTATTTTCCACAAAATGCTGTGATTTGATTCAGTGGAGTATTAATAGATTTTATAGTACCAGTTACTTTTTTATATTTACATTTTATTGCAACCAAACTATATAATAATAACTTGCCACCTAAACGTAATTACTGCCAGACTGTTCCTACCATCAAACATATTTTGTTGGAATGTGGAAGTTTTAGTACCATTAGACATTTTTTAAGGAGAGTACTTTGATTAACATTTTTAAAAAGGGACCACCAGGAAGAATCTCAAATTATTTATTAAAAATTGAACTGAAAAATCATATTTAACGTTGAATATATTTTTGTGTAAATTTTATCTATTTATATTTTATATATTTGTCTAAGTAACTTTTTTTTGTAATACAAATTTATTTTTGTCATGCAATATTTTATGTATTTGCATTTTGCCACGAAATTGCCATAAGTTGCTGATGTGGCAATAAATAAATATATTAATAACTTTAAAATGAACTCGGTGAGAACTGCACATTCTGTATTATCCACTAACAAAAAGTGCACTTAAAAATGAAAAATCATGTAACAAATGAAGAAGAAAAAAAAACATTATTCCTGTGTGTGATAAACGGATGCTTTTTTTAAAATTTATTTGAGTTTAACATGTACACTTATATTTCAGCTATTCTAAAAGTTGCAGCCCCTCAGTCAGGAACAGGGGCATCGATTGTCACCGTACGCCAAGCGTCCCAGGTTGGAAAATCCCCAGTCACTGTGGCATCACTTCCCGCAGGTGTTCGCATGGTAGTGCCATCACAAACCGCTCAAGGAACGGTAAGAATTGAAAATGTAAAGCTGGCATCTATATTGCACGACTAGATTACATACAGGGTCAATGCACAAGAAGAGGTGAATTTCCACTCACCCATATTTAAAGGGCACCTACAATGAAAATCATCTTTTGAAAGCTGTTTAGACAGAACTGTGTGTAGGTATAGTGTGTCCACAGTCATATTGGAGTGATAAAGACAGAAAAAATACATTTCCTGACGTTAAAATGGGCGCTAAATCCATTCCATTTTGAGGCCGACCGTTACGTGATGTAGGAGTGCAGTTCCCCACCCACCGAACTGATTGACTTGCGTATTAACATGTCTCAGTAGTAATGCTTATAATCATATTAAATATATATCATATTATATATTAAAAGTTCTGTTAAGCTCTCTGTGTCAGATGTTTAGGAATGAGTTTAACAAGTTTGAAACATTTTTAAAACGGTACATGTTTGTAATGAATTACAGTGATTTTTACCATCTTTACTTTATCACTGCAGCAGCATGTCAGTAGACGCTTCAATCCCGGATTGTGGATGTTAAAGCAGGTTTATTTTGTACATTAACCTAATAGATGTCCATACAGCAGTGGATTTTAATGTGTATCCTGTCACATTTGCCTAGCAAAAACAGTGCAAAAATAAATGCTCACTGTGTGTGTGCGTGAACATTGTAATAAAGTTGTGTGTGACTTATCGTTGCAGAAAGGCTTGAATTAACTCCACAACAAATATATCAAATAATCATTAGGAAAGGTCTTACTGTAGTATTTCTCACAACCATTATGTAAGATCTGTTTCTTTCATGTCTGTCACTGTGCTGTTTATCTAGCACAGCCAGAGATTGAGGCAAACTTTGACATGCACATGGGAACGATGGGCAGGGGGAACCAGCATTAAGACCGTACTCGCACTAGGTAGAGTTGCCTCGAACCGGGCCAAAGCATGCTTGTCCCCCCTCCCATCTCCCCCGACCGCCCGCGCTCACACCACAAACAGACTTCGGCACGCTTACGTCATCGCTGCTGCGCTCTTCAGTGAGAAGCGCGCTCTCACTCAGCAGCACAGTGGAGATTACTCTAGTTATATCGTTTCATTCGTTTGATATGCCGTCAAATAGTCCTTAGCGATGCGGGGACATGCAGTCAGATATTTCGCCAAACAGATCCGCCACTTTTGGCGCTCATAAACAATCATAAAGCTCTCGTGCTGCAGGAATGAGGAGGTCTGCTGAAGGCGCGCAGCTGTCGTGAAGTGAGTAGTTTGCATCTTTAATAAACGACGGCAGTTTACGTTCACTGAACAGTAAGAATGATTAATAAATCTATATGAAACAGTCCCTTAAAAGTCACGTCTCGCTTTCAGTTTCGGGCTTTGGCACGTTTTGCACTCACACACGCATACCGCGCCAAAGCCCAAGTGAACCGCGTTCAGAAACACCTCTTCCAACCGGGCCAGGGCCGGCCAAGTGAACCGTGCTTGAGCCCGATTCAGCGCACTCACACTTCTCAAACGATCCGGGAAACGGGCCTGGGCACGGTACGGATAGCATAGTGTGAGTAGGCCCTAAATGCACAAGCAACAAACAGCTACATTGTGTTCAACATTGTGTTGTGTTAATATTCTGAAAGGTATAATAAATAATCTAAAGTGTGTTTTAAGCTAAAACTTTACAGACACATTCTAGAAACACAAAGGACTAATCTTAAATCTTGAAAAAGGGGTAAAATAGGTGCCCTTTGATAGAAAATTTATGTCAGACAAAAAACATCTCTAGTAATCCAGAGCGATTGATCTGACTTCATGTTTAATTTTTTTTTATTATTTCTTTTTTTTTTTTGCGTTTTGTATGAACCCATTATAAACTGAAATTTTATGCACCAATGCACTTTTTATTTCAGCCCATCGGCAGCAGCCCTCAGATGAGCGGAATGGCAGCTTTGGCTGCAGCTGCAGCAGCCACACAGAAGATCCCTCCATCCCCAGGAGCCACTGTTCTCAACATGCCAGCCGGGGCCACAATTGTCAAGACGGTAGCTGTGACTCCAGGAGCCTCCACACTCCCCACCACTGTTAAAGTGGCATCGCCTCTGATGGTAATTATCTTAAAATTATTAACTGTGGCAGCACCCGGAAGCTTAGCAGTTAAATCATGACACTGATATTTTATTGCAGGTAAGCAACCCGGCCACTCGCATGCTGAAGACCGCTGCTGCCCAGGTGGCCACCCCAACAGTGTCCAGTCCCACTACAGGTGCTCGGCCTATCATCACGGTGCACAAATCGGGCACAGTTACCGTAGCCCAACAGGCTCAGGTTGTGACCACTGTGGTTGGTGGTGTCACCAAAACCATCACTCTTGTTAAGAGCCCACTTTCCATGGGAGGCAACTTGGTACAGTATATTAGAACTTCTGTCATAGGAACAACTTGGTGAAAACTATTATTTAGTAATTATTTATTATCTTTATTCATTCTTTTTTAGATATCCAACTTGGGCAAGGTAGTGTCAGTGGTACAAAACAAACCAGTGCAGTCAGCCACTGTGACTGGACAGGCCTCCAATCCACTCACACAGATTATACAGGTTTGTTTAACATGTATTACTGGATTAATAATAATTGTAACATAATTTATTTTGCATGAATTTAACTTCATCGTTGTTATGATTTTGTAGACAAAGGGTCCCCTTCCACCAGGCACCATTCTAAAGCTGGTAACATCTGCAGATGGAAAACCAACCACCATAATTACTACCAGTCAAGCAGGTGGCACAGGCAACAAGCCCACTATTTTGGGCATCAGTGGCATGTCCCCCACTTCCACCAGCAAACCAGGCACCACCACTATCATTAAAACAATCCCTATGTCTGCTGTTCAGCAAGGAGCTGCAGGTAAAGAAATTATGAATATTGTCAAGAAGTGTCCTTTTTAATTTTATGTATTATTATCATCACATATATATAAATTTACTATCAATACCACAATAATAATTCCAATAGTTTGAGGTTTCTGTACAGTTTCTAGGTTGCTTTGTTTGGACGTTTACACTAATGTGTTTTCGTTTTAAAGCGCATAAGTTTTGCTACGGTTATGCCATCCGTCCACACTACGCCGGAGTTCTCGAGCACCGAAAACGGAGCGTTTTGAAAACGCTGGAGAGCATTTTCATTCTGAAACGCTGCTGCTCCGTCTTAGTGTGGATGAGGAAAAACGGAGACATCAGAAAATGGAGGCGGGACTGCTGAGATTCGCTACCTGATTGGGACTTTTGTGTCATTGCGTATCCTTCCATTATTCGTCAAGCCTCTATCACATGACTATAACACATGACTTTAATGCTACCGGAAGACAGTACTGTAAACAACAACATGGACACAAAAATGGGAGCGTTGTTTGCACTATTATCTGTTTTAGCCGCCATTGTGCAGTTATTCATTTGTTACGTTTAGTAACAACTCGACCTCGTCGTCTGTCCACAAAAATACCTCTCTTGCTTTCTTTGCCATTGCGTTTAATGTTCAACCGGGGTTTGTTGACTAACAACTAGGTAAAACGGTAGTGTGGATGCGGATCGTTTTTGATCTAAAACGTCGTTTTAAAACTAAAACGCACTAGTGTAAACAGGGCCTCAGTGAGTGTGTGTTTTCTGTTGTAGGTGTGACAAGTACTACAGGAGTAAAAAGTCCCATTACCATCATCACCACAAAGGTCATGACCTCTGGAACTCCTGGTAAAATCATTACAGCAATGCCTAAGATTGGTACTGCGGCAGGCCAACAGGGCCTAACACAGGTATTGGGCTTAAAATATTTGGTGTTGTAAGGGTTTGATGAAGCACTGTTTAATTTTGTTACCTTACTTAATTATTTTCTCCTCAGGTTGTCCTAAAAGGAGCTCCTGGTCAGCCGGGCACTATTCTCCGCACTGTGCCGATGGGAGGAGTACGTCTTGTGTCTCCAGTATCTGGGGTCAAGCCAACTGTAACCACCCTGGTTGTCAAAGGAACAACTGGTAAGTTGTTGAAGTCAGAAGTCTGTGTTTCTTGTTGACTGTGTGAGTGTGTGTGCCAAATAACATTCAGCAACCTTTATTATTAATGCTTCGAATGTTTCCCTCTATGTGTCTGTCCTCTTTCCAAGGTGTAACAACTCTTGGCACAGTCACAGGAACAGTTTCATCAAGCTTAGCTGGAGGGAGCCTAGCCAGTGCCAACGCCACCCTGGCAACCCCCATCACCACTCTGGGCACGATCGCCACCCTCGCCAGCCAGGTCATTAATGCCACCAATGTGACGGCTGCTCAAAGCAACCTGACCACTGTTACCTCCACCATGCAGGTTAGAAATGGGTCGTCATTTCTGATAGTGTTGATTTTTATGTAAAGAATGATTTCTTTTACTCTATGGACCACTGTTTGTCTTGTGTTTGTCAGCTGATATGGTTATAAAACGGGTTTGTGACTATGTATATGTATATATATATATATATATATATATATATATATATATATATATATACACACACACACACACAAGCATAAATAAATAAATAAAAACATTTATTTATTAATTCATTTATAATTACCTATCAAGTCAATAATCTTGTCATCTTTTCTTCAGCCCACTCAGGTGACCCTCATAACTACGCCTAGTGGAGTGGAGGCTCAGCCTGGCCAAGATCTGCCTGTTTCATTTCTAGCATCTCCCACCTCTGAGCAGCCCACTTCTACTGAATCTGGCACAGGAGAGGCTTCTGGCAGCGTTACTCTCGTATGCTCCAATCCGCCTTGTGAGACGCATGAGACGGGCACCACTAACACGGCCACCACAGCGACCTCAAACATGGGCGCTGGACCAGCTGGCACAGTACAGAGAGTCTGCTCAAACCCGCCATGTGAAACACATGAAACGGGTACAACAAACACTGCCACAACAGCATCTGCCAACATGGGCGCTGTTCAAAGGGTCTGCTCAAACCCACCATGCGAAACCCACGAAACGGGCACCACCAGCACGACAACCACAGCATCTTCAAATATGGGCACTGCTCCTGCTGGGACAGTGCAGAGGGTTTGCTCAAACCCACCCTGTGAAACACACGAGACAGGCACCACAAACACAGCAACTACGGCTTCATCAAACATGGGTGGAAACCAGCCTGGAGCAGTGCAAAGGGTCTGTTCAAACCCACCTTGTGAGACCCATGAGACTGGCACCACCAACACGGCAACCACGGCTTCATCAAGCATGGGTGGAGGACAAGAGGGAACAGTGCAAAGAGTTTGCTCAAACCCACCCTGCGAGACCCATGAGACAGGCACCACCAACACAGCAACCACATCATCATCCAATATGGGTGGAGATCAAGCTGGAGCAGTGCAAAGGGTCTGCTCAAACCCACCCTGTGAAACCCACGAGACTGGCACCACCAACACAGCCACCACTGCTACCTGCAATATGGAGACAGATGAAGGAACAGGTACTGCTGTGTGCATAGTTTAACTGCACTCACTTTACACTTTGAGTATTCACAAATGGGCAGGTTAAAATGGATGCGGCACTGCTAACATGAGCCATTCCACCATGTTTAACACCTTTTTTGTAACGAGAGGTCAATTTTTGATGTTCTGTTTCTCTCATACATTGATGTGATGTGAATTTGCAGGTCACAGTTCAAGTTTTAGACTTCTCTGAAGCATTAAAATACTATATGTTGGTTAATATTCAGAAACATGCAAAGTGAACATTATTGTTTTTCTGAAAACAATCCTACAGTTAGTTATTTTCCATTTGCATTCCGTTTTGGGATGTCTACATATATATTTTTTTATCTCTGTAACACTGCCCATGGTTAGTTTGACCAATTATATTTTAGCACCCTGATTAGCCTTTGAGAAAACACGGCATTTTTAATTTTGCTCTTGAAGGCTCCGTCAGTGTATGCAGACACGGCTGAAAATGTGACCCCCAAATGACTGTAGCAGGCTCTGAAATGAGACGCAGATTCAGAGTTGTGTAAATCCACATAAGGTGCTTTTTAATTAGCGAATGTTACAAATATAAACTAGCTGAGCAGCTTACAATGTAAGGTTCTATCGGCAGGCATTTCGCTTTTTTTTTTTTTTTGTCAATATGGCAACCTACGTGTGTCTAGTTGTCGAAGAAGGGGGCTAAGTGGGAAAAACCCTCTGATATTTTGAATTTGGACTGCAATACCTTGTTCAACCACTTGGTCAATCGTACATACTACAACCTTTAAAATGCTATGCAGTGAAATATTCTCACGCAGACTTACCTTTTAAGTCACAGGTGTCAGATTCAATTCCTGGAGTCGCAGCTCTGCTGTTTAATTCCAATCCTTATTAAACACACCTAATCAAATTAATTAAATCGTTCAGGCTTGTTTAAAACCTGCAGTTAAGTATGTTGGAGTTGGTTTGGAACTAAACTGTACTTTGAACTGGTTCCCTCCAGGACCTGAGTTTGACACCCCGTTTTAAGTCTGATGCAGTTGCATGGAGGTCAGAAGAACAGAGTCTAGTGTGAGGTTGCTTGGCATTAATTGTATAATATACAGGGTGGGTTAAAACTAGGCAAGATTTAATGGCAATAGAAGAAGCTGGAGTCATGATGAAAATGTTCTCCAACTAGACGAAAGCAAATTTCATGTTAGATCGAGCACAAAAGGCCGTATTAGAAATGATAAACTTCTATGGCAATTTTTAGTGCATAGTTGCTTTTCACCCGCCCTGTAGAATAGATGACTTTCAAAGATAAGTTGCTGTACAAAATAAATCTGTAACTGCCTTGTATAAATGAAATCTTTAAAATAATGTCAGTTTATTTTTATGGTTGTGTGAAAAACTTGTGATGTTTACGTGCTTTAACCAAGAACACGAGTACTTTGGTCATCATAGTTATAATACAGTTTGGGGTGTCTGTTTATGGGGAAATTTATTAATGCCACATTTGATTAAAATTTTTAAAGAGCTAAAAGGGATGGTTCATCCAAAAATTTCTCTCCTAATGCCTTTGATCATTTACTTACTGTGATGTCATTCTGGACCCGGTGTAATCTTCTGCTATATATAAAAGACATTTGAATGTGGATAACCAGAATGTTTCTGAGTACATCGATTTATGGTATTATATAATGTATATTTGAGAAATATGAAATATATCTCCTTTGTATATTTAGCCCAACAGACCAGTGAAGCATCCGAATCGAGCACGAGCACGAGCACGGAGAGCCTGCCGGCGACTGCAGCTGCCCAGAGAGGAGCTATTACTACAGTCACACAAGCCACACCGCTGCCAGGACCTGCTGTTCCAGTGAGTGACATGTTTTCTGACAAACATCCTCAAAAGCATCAGTAATTCCGCAATAATTATTAACATAACAGCTATCCACATTCAGCGCATTATTCAGTTGAAAATGAGTTGTGGCTCTTTAAAGTATTTTTTTATGCCAATGCAGAGGTTTGCACAAACTCTTCAATTCCGAGGAGCTTGCATATAAATATCATATACTTAGATTTTCTTTTTGACTTTTTCCTGATATATTAAGTTTTTCTATAATTATTACTATGGTTTATTTTTCCTTTAATTGTGTTTATTGTATGTATTTGAGTGTGTTACGTGCAGTCTGTTCAAGACTATGTTTATGATATTTATTATGAAATTTTCTTTTCTCTCCGAATATAGCCATTGTTGCTGACATGGTATTAAATCTCAATTAAATCAATTCTGCAGGCTTTGCTAATCAATCTAGAAAGTTTGGGAAAGTTTCTATATTCTAAGTTTCTTATTGAGGTATGTATTGGCCATGTCGTTGGCCTCTAAACATTTTCTGCTTGTTATCAAACTATTTTATGACCGTAACAATAGGCAATTCAATCATGACAATGTTAAAACGGCTTTCATAACATGATCAATATGTGGACATTTTTGAATTCTCGGAAGCTATGGAAATTAAAAACGTAAAACGGTAAAAACGTTGCGACTGTTGTTGTTTACATTGCTCAAAATGGTCCATAGCATAATGGGAGCATGGAAATAAAGTGCTTTCCTTTGTTCTTCTTCAGTCTATTTCTTCAATCACGGAGTCGTCCTCAGAGGCAGGAGCTGAGCCGGTGGTGATGGAGAGTTCAGAGGCAGAGTCTTTACAGACCGAAGGCCAGGCTGAAGCAGAGGCCGTTGCCATGCAGGCAGAGTTTCAGACAGAGGCAGGAGCTGTTGCTTTACCCACTGACTTCCAGGAGGATGCAGCCGCCTTGCCAGCTGATTTCCAGGGAGAAGCGGTTGCGGTGGCCATGCAGGCGGAGAGCCAGGCGGACGCAGTGCCCATGGAGCAAGATGTTTCTGGCATGGCAGAGGGAGAAGCCGCTCAGGAACAGCTGCCAACGGCAGAGGTACAATTAATATTTTTGATTTTATGTATCAAGTTATTTTTGCTTATTAAGACCAAATTTACTTTATAAAATTTGTATTAATTTATTTTAGGATTTATTTGAAAAATAAAAAAAATAATAATATTTAGAGATAAATTGTAGGGGGTTTTTTAACGGATAATTTGTCATCATCATGATTAGTGGAAAATGTTATTTAATAATTAATTAATGTGTAGTAACTGAAAATTGCTAGCTGTACGTACTTGTTAAACATTGTCCTGAATGTTTAGTTGTCTAGTGGTCATGGGTGACTAAAGTTAAATTATTAGCTAAAGGAATGCCAATCCTGTTCCCATCTATTATTACCACATGCTTTCCGTTTCTGTTCAATGTGCTATCAAAATCAGGAAAAAACCCCTAAAACAACTTTTAAACAAATGTTTGATTTAAATCATGATGTCAAGTTTAAGTAACTAACATTTTATTCAACTTAAACTTTTATATATTTTTGAAACTTGATACCTGTATATGTTGAGAATTTTCACCGAAATTGATTTAATTTCTTTGTTAGGAGATATAAATATATTATGAATTTAGAAGTAAGTAGTGCATTCACATAGAAAACTCCAGGAAGAATAAGTGCACTTTAAATAACTTTAAAAAACCGTTAAAACGAAGTGTGGAATGTTGGACACGTGACACTCAACGGCCGCTGCTTTGCTCACGTAGAGGAAGGAGTGGAGCTTTCGGGCAGATGTTGGATGACTGTATTTATTTTGGATTATGAAAGCAAAATTCTCCACTTAGAGTGATTATACCGCCTCCTAATGGTGAATGCCGTTATACTCATGGCAGGTATTATTTGGTAGTTTGGTCATTAATTTGGCAAACATCATCTGGAAACGGTTTGAATTTTCGCTTAGCAAAACCATTAGCGTTCCATTTGGGATGACACTACATTCATTTACTTTGCGGTTGAGTGTGTTACTGCATAAGTACATAGAGCATAAGTGCTTAGTGTATAGTGTGCCATTTAGGATGCATCTAAGGACATTATTTGTTGAGTCGCTTGGAAATTGCAAAAAAATGTAGATATTTGATATTTTTTAAACATATCAATTTAACTTCCTATAATTAGGTGACTATTGTGTACTTTTTCCCATTTTTCTATTGGTAGATGGAAGATGTAGATGCAGCGTCAGCATCACAGGCTGCCGTGCTGGCTTTGCCACCAGAGCTGATGGCGGATGGTCAGTCCACTACGCTGATGGTGACAGGTCTGACCCCAGAAGAGCTGGCTGTCACTGCAGCTGCAGAGGCAGCGGCACAAGCAGCAGCCACAGAGGAGGCTCAGGCCCTTGCCATCCAGGCCGTACTACAAGCAGCACAGCAGGCCGTCATGAGTGAGTCATCATTAATCCCCAAAAACACAACCCACGTCCTGTATGTCTTCAAACGATGTCTAAAATGTGGTTTGCTTTAAAGGTGATGCGGGAGGAGACGACCAGCAGACCCACACCATACCCATCGTTCTGACCCAGCAGGAGCTCGCAGCTTTGGTTCAGCAGCAGCAGCAGCTCCAGGCAGCACAACAGCAGGCTGCAGCTCAGGCTGCTCTGCCCACCGAGGGCCTGGCACCAGCCGACAGCCTCAATGATCCCTTATCTGAAAGCAACGGGCACAACGAAATGGCAGCCGCTGCCACAAGTGCAGTAGTCACACTGCTGCCTCGCACTGCCGCAGAAAGTATGTGTGAAGAGTTGACTTTGTTTTTTATTTTTTTATTTTATAGTGTAGCGATACTTTTTAATTTTTTCTGTTGTATTCCATGTGCTAATAATAAATATAAAGTGCTAATTGTGTTAGGGTCCACACAAATTAAATTTTATTATAAGTACAAACGACACTTATGACACCTCCTGCTTTAAATACTGGAGCTCTTTAATATGGGATGGATTCTAATTGGCTGCTTATGTATAATGTTAATAGCTGAAAAAAAGCTTTTGAAAACATTTCTGAAAGTATTACAGGGCTGAGGGATTAAATAAAAATAATAATTATCTTGTCAGGGAAACACAGTTCTGAGTGATCTGCAGTAAATCACTAAAGGCCAGAGCGTGCCCTCATGCAATAAAAACTCAAAAAATTCTCAGAAACCCAGGAAATCCTGTAGTTGTGCATTATAATCCATATTTAATGGCTTTCTGTCATCCAGCATGACTAATAAGCACATGATTTCAGAATCCCGTCACAGAAAGATTTGTTTCAAAAACATCACTATTGATAAGTTGTGTAAAAACACATTATAATGTGGTATTTTCACATGCATTATTTACTACACAGAGCAGCAGTTGACTGCGAAGCGACACAAACATCTGTCATTGTCACAAAATGATTATCCTGATTATCATCTGAATAAGTTGTCTTTTGATTTTCAATGTGATTTTTGCGAAGCTTGTCAGTGAACTGAATCTGAAAGGATGCGCTACAGGTTTACGAGAACCGGCTTTACTGACAGAATTGCCCTAAATATGATGTTTTTATCTGAAGCCGTGTATGCCATTATCATAGTTTTATTTTCTTTTACCAGCCTTGGCTCCATCCAGCACATTAGCACCTGTAGTAGTAGCCAGTCCAGCGAAGATGCAGGCAGCGGCGGCTCTCACTGAAGTGGCCAATGGCATTGAGGCTGGGGTGAGTTTCTTGGGACAACCGTTCAATACAATGCTATTAAAAGAATGGATTTAAAATCCTTTTTTTTTCCTCCACAGAAACAAAATCCTCCAACAGTTACTGTCAAACCTCAAGTGAAGAAAGAGAACCAGTGGTTTGATGTTGGCATTGTTAAAGTGACCAATACGGTGGTAACTCATTTCTACATGCCCGCAGACGACTCTGCTTATGTTGAGGTTTGCCGCAATGATTCTTTCATTTCTAATATTGTGTGGCATTGCTTGATTGTGAAAATAAGTAATGCTAACAGAGCTTGTGTTTCTGTTGCAGAATGATTCTGGCACAGCCCCAGACTACAGTCAGATGAAGAGGGTGGAGCTTCAGCCTGGCACCGCCTACAAGTTCCGTGTGGCGGGTATAAATACTTGTGGCCGAGGAACCTTTTCTGAAATATCTGCATTTAAGACATGTTTACCAGGCTTCCCCGGAGCACCATGTGCCATAAAGATCAGCAAGGTAGTTTTCCCTTGTTGCATATTGTACATGTATCTAACATATAATCTAACTATTTATTTACTTATACTTTTATCCATTTTTTCATTTTATTTTCTAATTGATTTTGATCATTTAATTATGAATTTATACAATTTACTTCAAATTATTTAGGAATGATCAGGAATTTTGCCTGTTGTGTCTTAATTTTCCCTTAAACATTAAAACAATACTTAAAAATAAATATATATGTAGGAATTTTAATTGACATAAACCCTTCTTAATAGTGTAAGTCAGATGCAAATTGGATCAGCAGATAGTGTAATTGATGCTACATGGAAAACAAATTAGTTTTCTCAATTTCAAAGATCCTCCGTTTTCTGCTTTCTTTAGAGTCCAGATGGTGCTCATTTGACATGGGAGCCTCCGTCCGTGACATCAGGAAAGATCACAGAGTACTCTGTGTATTTGGCCATCCAGAGCAGTCAGACCACCGAAGCCAAGCCCTCAGCCCCGGCTCAGCTGGCCTTCATGCGGGTTTACTGTGGACCAAACCCCTCGTGCCTGGTCCAGTCCTCCAGCCTGTCCAACGCTCACATTGACTACACCACCAAACCCGCCATCATCTTCCGCATCGCCGCTCGCAACGAAAAGGGCTATGGCCCTGCCACACAAGTGCGATGGCTGCAAGGTAAACCTCATCTTTAGTCGGGAGAAGTATTTGTTTCAAACTGTGGCTAGGTGAATTCTATAATTGCTTTATGTGCTTTACAGAGTCTAGCAAAGATGGCCTTTCTGCAAAACCTGCCCCGAAAAGAGCAGTTTCTTCACCAGATACGTGAGTGCCCAAGGCTCGAGTGTCACACAAAAGCATTTAATAAACAAAACAAACAAAATAATACTGTAAAAAAAGAAAGAGAGAAGTTATGATTTTAAATAGCTTGTCTTTTGTGTGGGTTATGCTTTTGTATTGTAATTTATGTGAGGGGCTGTGCTTTTATCAGCAATTGCTAGTGTTAAATAACACATGATGCTTAAAATCAGTTAAATATCAAGTTTTTTGTTATTAAATTGTTACAAATATTGATATAACGCTCAAAACGATTTGTTTTCAAAATTACAAATCAGAAAATCATCAATTAGGGTTTAATTAATTAATAAGTTTAACTCTATTAATTATCACACTCTTTCAGGCATTCTGTAATCACATTCTCACATTGTGTCCTAACAACATTCAATGCAGCACTGTGACATAATAAAAACATCTTTTCCAGGTTAAAAGGAGTTTTCTCCTAACCCAGGGGTGTCCAAACTCGGTCCTGAAAGGCCGGTGTCCCGCTGAGTTTAGCTAAAACTTCCATACACTTGCCAGGAACTTTCTAGCATATCTATTAAGAGCTTGATTTGCTGGTTCAGGGTGTGTTTGATTAGGGTTGAAGCTAAACTCTCCAGGACACCGGCCCACCTGAACAGAGTTTGGAGACCCCTGTCATAACCACTCGTGATGCGACATTCTAAGATTCTACTTTATAATTTGTTTCTATTTCTGCGACGACATGGCTCAACAACAGCGAAGATCACAGACATTGATCACAAGTCGATAATTTGCTTTATTATCTGTTACATTTAACCAGTGAGATTTCAGATACCATTTTACATCACATTTATTGCCAAACTGAAAGTGCCAGCAGACAGATTACCTCAGATCTTGAAAATAAAACAATTAGCATACATATAGTTTAAATATGAAGGTTATAACTGCAACCGATTATCACGTACACAGCTTGCACTTTTAAATATGGTAATGAGGTTTAATATTTATTAATTGTGTAGTAAATCCATATTAATTGGGAGTGCAGTGGGTTTATTCTGCTCTTCTGATTGGCTCAGATATTTAAATGTTTCTCTCATGTAGCGTCTCGTGCGTACAGACAAATTGTGTCTGGAATCTTCTCCTGCTGCTTGTTGATTGGACATGGTGTCGGTTTTAAGGTGCCAATTCAAAACAGTGAATCTAAAACTTCATACTGACTAAACGTAACACTCCTTCTGGAGGTACACGATCAAACCATCATCTTTATCTGCACGACATATCAGCTGATGTTTATGTTGTGCTTCTCTAATCTAAAGCTTTTACCCGGAAGAATTTTGAGTTATTTATTAAATATTGAATTGAAATGATCATACTTCATTTTAATATACAGCATAGGTCGCAGCTCTGCACAGTTTTGCTCCAACCCTGATCAAACACAGCAGATCCAACTAATCGAAGTGTTCAAGACTCATGAACACCTTCATTATTTAGATCAGCAGTGTTTGATCAGGGTTTGTGCAAAGCTGCGGCCCTCCAGGAATTGAGTTTAAGACCTGATATACAGTTTTTGTGATTTACTTTTTCCTATTTTTTATATTTGTATGTGTACCATCTCTTATTGAAATATGAAGTTGTTCTTGTCATGAACGTTAAGTATATTGATTTTGCCATGAAATAGCCATGACTTGCTGATATGGCAATGAATCTAAAGCTTGCCCATTAAAGCACTTTTCTTTTGTTACAGGAAAGGGATTGGTCAGAAGAAAGCAAGAATGGACCAGTAACCTGTCCTCTGCATTTAGCCTCCAAAACCATACAGACTTTAACTACTCCCACTGCTCCATCCGGATTTAACCCATCTCTGACTGTAACCCTTCATCAAAACAGCACAAAAAAGAGGAAATCCAGTTTCTAGCTTTTTATTAATAGTATGAATGGAGAAAAGCACATTGCGAGTATTTTTCAACATACTTGGAGCGGGAGAGGAAAACAAAAACAAGCTTTTTCCATTGTAGTGTCTTCCTTTCTGCTCTCCCCACATTTCTTTCATGTATTTTTGCCTCAGTAATTCAAAAGCAGTTTTAAGATATTTGTAACGTTTTTTTCTGTCAGCTGGTTTCTATGAAGTTTTTTTTTTTTTTTTTTGCAATGGACTTCTGAGTGAAGTTTGAGTTCATGTTTAATATGTGAGATGAGTGATAATGGGAGACAGAAAACAAACAAACATGCAGAAATGGGGAAAACAAAGCAAGCACTTGTCCTCAGACAAGAGAGGATATTTTTCAGATGTGCGTGAGGATTGGTTCTGGATTCTGTGCACTTTGGCATTGAGCAGAAACAAAAGCTGAACTGCGGATAAAGAAACGGCCATGGAAGAAAGAACATTACCAGCAGAGACTTTGCTAGAACTGTTTGCCATACAAACAAACAAAAAAGTAAACAAAACAAAAAAAGAGAAAAAAAAGAAAAACTTCCCAAAAAATTAGCGAGCGACGATGGAGAACTTGTGTAGTTTATTTTTGTATTTTAAAGCTTTTCTCCTGTGTGTATGTGTATGTCCGTGTGCTTTTTTTAACTCACTACTTTTATTTTATTTTTTTGTTTTAATAGTTCTTGGCCATTCCCATTGGTTTAAGGATTTGTGGCAAGAAGGGCTTTTGAAGACGAGGAAATGCATTGTGTTTGTGCTCAAGCCGAGTGTTGATGTGAAAAAGATGTAAACAAGTATAAACATCTGAAGGGCTTTTACTTTGTTTACGGCGTGTGTCCACTCCGTGTTTGTGTATGCCAAACCTCGAGATGTAAAAATCGTTAATTTTATTTTATTTTTGTTCTTGATTCTTCACTTTACAAATTCGTCACTTATTATTAGTAAACACTTTCCCCTTCCTCTGCCTCGTCCTCTAAACTTTTTCACAAGATAACTTTGTAGAAATTTTCTCTGCTCTAGTTTGTGAAGGAAGTTGTCCACGTGAAGATGAATTTCTTCCCTTTTTTTTTTTTGAGTATCTGAAAGGTATGCAGAGTAAATGTTCAGTGTATACCTGTGTGTCTCCATGTGGCGAGAATGGCTTGTCATTTTTGATGATAAGAGCCAAGTTCGGATTGGGTTGTAATATAGTTCATTCATACTGCAGGAATTGAAGATGATAACCTGGCCTTTTATATATTTACCTGTACAACGTTTTTACATGTTGGTCATCTCCTGATTGCCTTTTTTGTCTTGACTTATAAAAGAAACAGAAATATCTCTGTCGGCTCCTTCATTAATTGATTTATTTTTTCTCACAGTCTGAGAGCGCATTTCCCCACACATTGTGAATTTGAAGAGCTTAGTTTGATTAAATGTTTTTTAGAACGCTGAATGGATTTAAGAGGGCTAACTTGTTTGTATTTACCATGTAGATGTTTCTGCTGAAGTGAAAAAAGGATGGTAAACCAGTGTAGTATTTAATAAAGTAGCTTGTTTTTTTTACATGTTCATGAAGCTAAATCAACATATTTAGGTGATTTTTATTTTTTTTTGCTTTTAATACTTAATCTTATCACAAATCATATCTTATTTTTCCTATCACTTTCTTTCTTTTTTTTTTTTTTTTTTTTTACACAAAAAACAGTTTGGCTAGCTCTTGTTTTAATTGCATTTTAGTCTATGATATTGTGTTAACATTTTACGTAATAGTTAAACATCAATAAATTGTTACAATATAAATAATATTAAGTCTTTTGAAAAAACCTGTATTGTAAAAAGTCACGCCATTAAGAGTCCTCAAAAATTGCATCATTTTATTTAAATGTTTTCTCCTGTAGTGTACTTTATAGTTAGTGACTAATTTTACTGTCTCCATTATGCAAACGTTCCTCTCATTTTCATTATCGCTAATGCAATTAAAACTTTGCTTGCACATATTTTGTTCACAAAATTATCGCTATAATCGTCAGCTATAAACTACATTACACCATCAACAAACAATACTGTTGTGCATATTATAATATCACAATACAGTTCTGTTGCTTTAAATGCTCAAGCTTGGTGCATTCTGATTGGCTGTTTGTATGTTTGGTACTTTTCAGCTGGGATAAACTCCAGTGCTTTAGATATGCTGTCGGTTTATTTGATTTTAATGTCTTTGATTATTCTCTTCACTTGTTGTAATACTGGTAATAGAGAACAGTAGTGCAGGAGTTGTTGCTTCAACAATAGCATTTTTTAGTTCTTTGCTTCTTGTCCTGTTGTGTGTTTGTAATCTGGACGTCTCCTCCATTCTCCACATGGTGACTTTTAAGCTGTAATGAGAGAGACAAAAAGCTAAATGATTCTGCTTATTGCTCATGTTCAGTCTCAAATCCAAAACTTAATTAAATATTTGTTAAAGTTATGATAAATTAGGGCCTGTTCTTATTAAGAGAGAGAACTTTAAATGTAACTGTGGGGTTCATTAGTGCCACATAATTTTTCCTTCTTTGTTTTCTTCCCATTTATTTTTTTTTATTACAAGTCAACATAACAACCTTAAATTTGATGCACTATTATTCTTCAAGATGAAGATGACTAAGGTAAAGAAATCCGGCTATTTATGTGCGTGTGAATTCTTCCGATTAGTATATTATGTGACAGCTAATGTGGGACCCGCTGTGGTCAATCATAAGCACGCGATCATAAGCACAATATTCATTCATTCATTTATTTTCTTTTCGGCTTTGTTCCTGTAATCTGGGGTTTCCACAGCAGAATGAACCACCAACTTATCCAGCATATGTTTTACGTAGTGGATGCCTTTCCAGAAGCAAACCCATCTCTGGGAAACATGCGCACACACACAAATACACTATGGTCAATTTTAGCTCACCCAATTCACCTATAGCGCATGTCTTTGGACTTGTGGGGGAAACCCATGCAAACACAAGGAGAACATGCAAATTCCACACAGAAACGTTAACTGACTCAGCCGAGGCTCGAACCAGCGACCTTCTTGCTGTGAGGCGAACATGCTACCCGATGTGCCACCGCGTCGCCCCTCGAATCTAGTTTATAAAGAAGCTTCACAAAGCAAATTATAAGTATTATAAAAAAATACAATTATTTAGCTTAATTGGCCTGCAGTTCTCAAAAGCAGAAAACTGAAAAAAGTGATTTACAGGACTCCAGATTTACCACAACAGATGTATTCAAGTTCTTTGCTCTACACTGTAAAAAAAAAAATAATACATTTTTAAGGCAACAAACTTCAGGACATTTTTGAGTTGACGTAAATCGAGTAAAGTGCAGTAATTAGGTTGAAAGTTAAGTCAACTCAAAAATGTCCTGAAGTTTTTTGTTGAATCAATTTTTTTTTTACCATGTACTACAGTTTAAAAACATTGTAGTATTAAGTTACTATAGTATTCCTTTCATACGGGTTGTGAAAACAATGTTAAAACTTAGATTTGCGAAATACAAAAAAATTGGAACTACACAAACAGTTAAACAGATAAAAAGACAGTTTACTTGGCTTTGATGAGACAGCTAAAGAGTTTAGATGCCAAACCTTTTTTTCTAAAATAAGCATTTTTCTCAACCACCTGTTTATGTGCAGTTATTTCACTTTAAAGGCAATGCAAATAACCTATTCATCACCATCAAAGAGAAATTACAGAACCTACACATTGGAGAAAAATGCTCATTTTAAAAGTAAAGTGGCAATTGTGTCTGAACAACAGAACAATATATTAATCAATTATTATATAATCACTTAATCATAACAGCATATGTTTTACTTTATTGTAACTTAATAAACTAAGTTATTCATGTTCCAACTTAATACGTTATGAATGCAGTTTGAAGTCAGGTTAACATAATATAAATTCAATTAACTCATAAGGGCGAGGCACAGTAGGTAGTGCTGTCGCCTCACAGCAAGAAGGTCGCTGGTTCGAATCTCGGCTCAGTTGACATTTCTGTATGGAGTTTGCATGTTCTCCCTGCCTTCCCCTTCCGGGTGCTCCGGTTTCCCCCACAGTCCAATGACATGCAGTACAGGTGAATTGGGTAGGCTAAATTGTCTGTAGTGTATGAGTATGTGTGAATGTGTGTGTGGATGTTTCCCAGAGATGGGTTGCGGCTGGAAGGGCATCCGCTGCGTAAAAACTTGCTGGACAAGTTGGCAGTTCATTCCGCTGTGGCGACCCCGGATTAATAAAGGGACTAAGCCGACAAGAAAATGAATGAATGAATAAACTCATAAGGTAATTTGATTCAGCTAAAAGGCAGCCAGGATATTTTACAGTATAGGTCTCATTTGTAAACAGACCTTTCGCTGTACAACTTAAATTGAACTCACATACTGCAGGGCTGCTCGGGCTACGCTGTGGAAGGTTTTATCCACACCAATGTCTTCCTTAGCGCTACTTTCAAAATATTCAGCTCCGATATCAACACACCACTTCTGAGCTTTGGATGTTGACACCTGTCAATCAATTCAGCCATGAACAAAGTGACATATGAGGATGACAAAGCCAGTTTTGTGTTGCATTGTAACTATAATTTTGTCAGTAACCAAAAAACATTTTATGCATCAAAAAAAAAATTTTGTTTAGCTTTTTTTTTTTGGCAAAAATCATTAGAATTTTAAGTGAAAAGCATGTTCTATGAATATAGGTATAAATCTCCTTTTGTAAAAGTTAAAAAATATATTTTCTTTAGTAATGTGCTTGGCTAAGAAAGCAAATTCTTCAATATTTTGATTTTCTTTAACCCTAAAAATCTAGATTTTCATTTCTCAGCCAAATATTGTCTAACAAACCATAAATCAATGCTTATTTATTCTGCTTTCATATAATCTAAAAATCCTTATTTAAAAAGAATTGACATTTGTTTAGTGTTCCTGGATCACAAATAATATCCTACAGCTTACAATATCTTATAGCTCTAACCTGACGATGATCCAGGTCGATTTTATTGCCGAGCACAATAAAAGGGAACGCAGCTGGGTCTGAAGGACAGGCCTGCACCAGGAACTCTTTCTTCCAGACGTCCAGCGCTTCAAAGGAGACAGACGAGGTCACATCAAACACTAGGAGGCAGCAGTGAGCTCCGCGATATAATGAACTACCCAGGGAATGAAACCTCTCTGTGCCTGCAGTGTCCCAGATCTGCTGCAAAAACAGCCGAGCGTTGCATGAGTTTGTTGTTTCTGACGCTTCAGTAAGTTCAGATGAAGGACTTAAAGGGGTAGTTCACCTCAAAATTCAAATGTTTCATTGATTCACCATGCATATTTACAAATTAGTTTGATTTTCTTTCTTCTGCTGAACACAAAAGTGGGTATTTTGGTTAACTTTACATTAAGGCTGTATTAGCGAAATGTTTGCTAACATAAGCATCAAACAATATTTATTATGGTATGTATTCATATTTGTCAGCCTTAATAAAAATATAGTTGTTCAGTGTTAGTTTATGTTAGCTCACGGTGGATTAACTGATGTTAATAAGTTAATTTTGATTAAGAAATGCTGTACTAGTGTTGTATATGATGGTAAACACATAAACTAGCATTCTTCAAAACATTAGGCTAACTTACTCTGTGTTCAACCGAAAAACAGAAATTCATTAAAGTTTGGAACCAGCTTGAGGGTTATATAAATGTGAGAAAGTTTCTATTTGTTAGATGAGCTGTTCATTAAAATAAATGTTTCTCACCTGAAGAATCACTGGTCTTCTATCAACAGTGATTTCTTTAGTTAGGAAATCTACCCCAATTGTGGCACGATACAAATTAGTAAATCGATGGTCAACAAATCGGGTCATAAATGAAGATTTTCCCACTCTGTTCGGATAAAAAGAAACAGAAACAACAAATTACACAAGAATTACCTTGAAAAATATGCTGTTAGCAATAATATTGAGAAAGCAGTAATGCTGAATGCACTCAAACGTTTAGAAACACAAAGAGCTGTTGAGGTTTGATAAGCTCTAAGATGATTTTGAGAATTTTCAAGTGATTACTGATCTATTTGTTTTAAACTGACTAGGTTGTTAGTAAACTGAAAACAAACACTGAAGCAATATGTAATGTAATGTGTTATTAAGAGAAATGGACTATTTCAAACTAATATTACAGAGCTGGATTTTATAGTCTCTAAGCTTTTGCAAACATATGCATAATACAACCAGATGCTTACTTTTGTATTTACAACTTTTTACTTCCAATAAAAGAATGAGAACGAAATTAAATTGTATACCCTGTCACCAGTAACAATGCTATGGTTTGA